AAGGTTGCTATTCTTTAAGACCTGCTGTCCATGTATGCCCGTCTCCACCGTTGCCCCTTCTCATTCGGTGCAAATAATACAAATAAGCCCCGGGGTTGACACCAATTTTTTAGCAACCCCCGGGTGCTTGGACGCAATGCGCCATGGGGGATCCACCTGTGTACAGAAGCCATAACTTTCTATTAGATAATCGTAGTGACCTGGTTTACATCGTGCACTTGATACGCGTACTAAATAGTAACTTTCTATTAGGTAATTTTAATATTAACAATGTATATCAACGGCGATTCATTCAATCAATACAATACGTTTTTTTGAAGAGTATTATACCAGCTTAATATACTATTGTTTATATATATCGTCGATATTATGATTATCTAATAGAAAGTTACTATTTAGTACGCGTATCAAGTGCACGATGTAAACCAGGCCAGTATCGATGATATATATAAACAACAGTATATTAAGCTAGTATAATACTCATCAACAAAACGTATTGGCTTGGTTTACATCATGCACTTTATACGAATATTAAATAGTAACTTTCTATTAGATAATCTTAATATACCGTTGTTTATATATATCATCGATACTGGCCTGGTTTACATCGTGCACTTGATACGCGTACTAAATAGTAACTTTCTATTAGATAATCTTAATATCGACGATGTATATAAATAACGATATATTAAACTGGTATAATACTGATCAAGAAAACTTATTATATCGATTGAATACGTCATCGTTGATATACATTGGCCTGGTTTACATCGTGCACTTGATACGCGTATTACATAATAACTTTCTATTAGATAATCTTAATATTGATAATGCATATCAACGGCGACGCATTTAATCAATATAATACGTTTTCTTGATGAGTATTATACCAGCTTAATATACCGTTGTTTATATATATCGTCGATATTAAGATTATCTAATAGAAAGTTACTATTTAGTACGCGTATCAAGTGTACGATGTAAACCAAGCCATAGTCAATATTAAGATTACTTAATAGAAAGTTACTATATAGTACGCATATCAAGTGCACGATGTAAACTAAGCCATTGTATTGATTGAGTGCGTCGCCGTTGATATACATTGGCTGCGTTCAGAAACATAGCTGATCAGTAAGCGGTCAGTGATTATTGGTCCTTAATGTTAGATCTCTAACTTTAGACCAATTACGTTAACTAATTACGCAACCGTTGTATAACTGTTATGTCTCTTGAACGCACCCATTGTCGATATTAAGATTATCTAATAGAAAGTTACTATTTAGTACGCGTATCAAGTGCACGATGCAAACCCAACCTATAAGTTTGTTCGTATCGCATGCCCTAACATACTCCTACTCGCTCCAACGCACTCTGATTGGTCCGCGTGATGATGTGAACCAATCAAAGTGCATTGGAGTGTGTAAGAGCACATAGGGGCATGCGACGCGACAAATCTTATGTGTGAGCTAGTAGAAACCAATATGGTGACGAGCAGTTCCTCCCGCATGCCTGAGTACTAGAGATGCCCGATTCTTAATCAATTCGATTCTTTCCCTAACAAATTTAGGGAAAAAGGGTTGTTCGTGCTGCTTGCATGTTTCATACTTTTCGCTTTTAAAAAGAGATGGATACCTAATCAGACACTTAGAAGAAACAATCGAGTTGGATGTCTCGTTTTTGCTTCTTCGAAACATTCCAATATACTTCTGTTTAGTTTTAAATACGAAAAATGCGAAGAGTGCAAACAACACGAATAAGCCTATTTTTGGGGAAAGAATCGAATCGATTTAGAATCGGGCATCTCTACTGAGTACATACTAGAGTTGGGCACGGCTAAAAAAATCGTCGACTTCGATTTAATCGATAATCAAAAGTATCGTTTTTATATAATCGATATTTTCTTAAAAATATCAATAATCGATTATTTGAGTGAGTCCCAGATGCGCACATTGACAAACGGAAACATTCAGTCATATGTCGTTGTTTATAGAGTCTCTAGAATATCTCTAGGCATACGTCGTTGTGGTTGGCTGTGTCCGTTTGTCAATGTGCGCATCTAGGACGCTTCCGGTTAATCGCTCCGAGAGCGATCATAAATCATAAGTCTTTATTAGCCAATCATAAAGTTTATAAGTACTTGTTCGACCAATAAACGTAGACTGAATAACCCATAGTGGGTTACCCCAGAACCAGTCGAACATGCTATAAGTTTTAGAGTATCAAATTAAGTGTTAATGTAATAAATCATCAAATGGAATATACTGCAGTACATTTTTTAAATAAAGCTAAGACTCCATATATGCGGTGAGCTCCGACAAATGCACGGTGGCCATTCAAAAGTCAGGCGTAGGTCGAGCCTAACTTCTAATTGGTCACCGCAACATTTGCCGCAGTAGACTCGATGCGGGTAATTGTTAAATTCTAGTAAGTAAAGCATAGAAAATGTAATGACTATGTCGACTATTATGTCGACTTGTATATAGCCAGATAATAGGGAGTTTTTGCAATACTGTCTTTCAGAAATGGTAACGCTAAAGTACGTTCCGATATTCCCTGCCAGTACTGCGAATATACAGTTTGTGTTACGTATCCTATAGATTTGAAGTACTGATACTGAATATTGGAACGTACTTTTGCGTTACCGTATCTGAAAGACGATATTTCAAAAACTCCCTATTATCTGGCTATATACAAGTCGACGTAATAGTTATAACATTTATGGCTCCTGCACACAGGATGCGGTAATGCCGCGCGACGGAAGTCCGCGCAACAGCCAATCAATATGTTGTTTTTCCGTAAGAGGTAGAAGGTTATTACGGAAAGCAGCATATTGATTAGCTGTTGCGCGAACTTCCGCCGCGCGGCAAGCATTACCGCGTCCTGTATGCATGAGCCAATAGACCCATTTTACAAACAAGGATTTCTGAAAGTTCAGAAAAAGCAAGAGAGGTAAATTTCGTTTAATATAATGAAATTTATTCACAATTACATAATACACGTATACCAATTATATTAAGAATTACTGAGACCTCACTGAGCTAAATTATTTTCTGAAAGCAACCATATTATCAATTGCAATACTGCAGATCACAATTATACAGTTTGATTGGACAATCTTTGATTTTCAATTTTTAATCTTAATCTCCAATGCGTAGTCTAATTCTGACTTTATAGAGGGTGCTTTCCAGTTTCGTACACTGTGTTACATAAAACCAGTTTATTGATTGCATATTATCTTACAAGATATTTTAGATAATATATGACTTAGATAATATATAAACTGGTTTATATATTATCTAAATAGATATGATTTAGATAATATATAAACTGGTTTTGTGTACGTGTGTATCAAAATGTGTTAAGCAATTGGAAAGCATCCAGAATGTCAGGCAACATGTAATAGGAACAAGAAATAGCCAATGAAAAACTATACTTTCACATGTGCGTCGGTTGCTATTGGCTGTTCCCTCTTTCTACTACTTGTTGCCCGGCATTCTGTAAAGGACTTTAAACACTATATACAACTAATATCTCGGATTTATTAATAGAACTATTAATTGACCTCAGTGTGCACTAATGCACATTAGTGCTTTCAATCAAATTCGCTATTAGTGAAATTATTATAAGAAAAGGGTCTTCATAATAAAATTTTGTACATCGTATATCGCACATCGAAGAAAAAATAATCGATTTGGAGAATAATCGACCTCGAAAACATTGGAAAGAATAATAGGTCTGTTCTTTGTAGTTGCACTGCTGAACTGGTGCAATATATTGAAGTGAAACAAATATACGTTTTCTCACTCTAACTTATTGCACTAGTTCAGTAGTGCAGCTACAAAGAACAGGCCTTATGATTCTAATAAAATAAGAATCGATTTTCTAATAAAATAAGAATCGATGCTTGATTTATCGATCGATATTTGTCCATTCCTAGTACATACTCTTCTCGCCCAAAGTAAGCGTTTATAGCGTGTTCAACTGGCCCAGGGCTAATGACGCTCCGAGAGCAATTAATGACGTCATAAGTCTCTACTAGGCAATCATAAGAACTTGAGCACAGACTTTTGCATAACGCATAATGCATAACACATAAGGAAATCAATCAATCAGAGTCATTCATTTCTATCCTGGAAAGGGAAATAAAAGTCTCTGATTGGTTGATTCCCTTATGCGTTATGCGTTATGTGTTATGCAAAAGTCTGTGCACAGGCCCTAAAGCTTATAAGTACTTGTTTGACCAATAAACGTAGGTTCAATAACCCAGAATGGGTTATCCCAGAGTCAGTCGAACATGCTATTAAGCTAGTGGCACATAAGGCGGTATTCATAGTCGAATCTTATTTCAAGACCGTCTTAAGTAATGTCTTAAGATGCGAATACGGCTTTGTGATTAGTTCATGACATCTTAAGACAGTACTTAAGATGATCTTAAATATAAGATTGGACTATGAATACCGGCCATAGAAAAACTTAAGCAGTAAGACATAAGCAGTAAGCGAATCAGCCAATCACAGTCGTTGATTCTTGGACCGTAAGAAGAATCAACGACTGTGATTGGTCAATTTGCTTACTGCTTACGTCTTACTGCTTAAGTTTTTCTGTGTGCCACGGCCCTTAAGGGACATCTACATTGGAAGTAAATAGCAAGATGTAGAAAGTAAGAGTAAGAAATTGACCAACCACAGTCGAATGTGAGAAGAATAATCAACTATGATTGGTCAATTTCTTATTCTTACTTCCTACTTCTTACTGCTTACTTCTAATGTAGACGTCCCTTTAGACTCCGTCCCCTTATGCAGGATTCACACCGCATCCGATGTCCGACGTACAACGTCCGATATCCAATAGGAGAACAGCTTTCTAATATAGAATTCAATTCTCCGTTAGAAAGCTAATCTTTTATTGGATATCAAACATCGTACGTCGGACATCGGACGCGGTGTGAATCCTGCATTATTCCTTAGTCCGTGGAGAAAACATATATTTGTCTCACTTCAATATATTGCATCAGTTCAGCAGTGCAGCTACAAAGAATAGGTTTAATTCCTTTCGAAATACGGTTTTGGTATCTCCAGTACAGAATTCAATTATCTCAATCTTTCAACGCGTTGTAAAAAAACAATTTACTGATCGAAGAATTTCGGGAAAAGATTCTTCAATCTAGATTTTGATATTTTGATATTTCTTCAAGTTTTGACAAATACGAAGATTATAAGTCTGGTTTCGTTGAGCAGAGCTGTTATTGTCATCCCGTAGTAATCGTTGATATGTATCGAGTTACTTAAGTCAGATCCATTATAACGTGACTAGTTGAACTTTCTGCTCCAATAGCAAAAATTGTGATTGTAGTTTGCGTTAAGCCAACGGCACACGGTGCTTGTTTTCGTGCTGGATTGCTTGCTGGATGGAAATACTCTGTTTTGATTGGTGCATTTCCATCCATCTTCAGAAATGCACCAATCAGAACAGAGTATTTTCATCCAGCAAGCAACCAGCACGAAAACAAGCATCGTATGCCGCTGACTTTAATTAAGAAAATAATTTCTTTGCGACAAACATTAATCGAGGTAGATTGATGAGCAACATAACCATGACGTCAGCCAGCAGGTTAGTTTTTGTTTACATATTTATTAAATGATAATATTACGATTTAAGTACGCAGTAACCGATTCAACATGACGTGCATTATCAACAATTGTGATAATTTTATTGTTCCCTGTGATTTGTTCAGGAAAAGGGGTCGCGATGTGGAAGAGGAATCTAGCGAATTCATGCCATTGAGCAAACGAATCAATAACCTTCATATCAACAGTCTGTCAGTTCTGCAGCAGAGAACGATGGAAAGCATGGAAACTGACGATTGGGGAAGCGAAAATTTTGTGCCATCGCCCAGTTGCTCGGAGGTATCTTCAAACTCACCATCCAGAGACACCTGTAGCTCTAGCCAAAGCAGCTTGACCACTGAGTACAGACCAGACTTAGATGCCATGTCAAATCCCTTTTATTATGAGAGTAATAAGCTACTCTTTTCCTTATACATGGAACGTATGCAAAGGAGGTTAAATCTCTATTAATAAGTATACATGTTACTGATTCTGTCATGCCTACAAAACATCTGCTTAACATTCGACAGCCAGGTTTCCTTTTTGCCATTCCTCTGTGTGACATACTTTGATGATTTCCAGTCACTCGCGTTGATCATACAAATTATATAATAAGTGATACGAAATAAACAAGTTTTGTAAAAGGCTGTACTAATGCATATACATCCTCGTTGCGCACAACCTTTAGGATATCAGGTATTGTTTGTCACGCAAAGTGCATGAAATTTTATGTAAATGGAAAACTATGAATGACTTCCATGATTGTATAAGATGTGTAGTTGTAGAACTATTTGTAGAACTTTAACTTATCATTAATTTATTTAAATTTCTCATCCTTTTCCCCATTGTTATGTTACATTTTTAATGAATCAGCGATACAGCATACGGAATCCTTAAATCTTAAGTCATATGTATGAAACACTAGGATAATGAAATGAAGTAAATAAAGTTATTAAGTATAGTTTAAACAAAATACATATATTTGTAAACATCACAAAGATATAAGAGATATCAGTAATGCCTTCAAATATTTTGACACTCTTCTGAGTAAAATTTGTATCTGACTTCAGAATAATTTCGATATTTTTGCTTTTTTTATTCAGAATGTAGCTAATAGTTCAATGAGGAAACTTAAATTCTAGAAATTAAAAACAAATTCTTTCATTGCAGTATTAGCTGCGTTCCAAGATACATTTAAAAAAGAAAGTTTAAACAGCATTGAAAAGTCAAGATACTTATTCTAAATTCTCTTTTATCGATAAAAATATCTTCATAAGTGACTAATAAATCTTTTAATTATAGCTATAACACATTTTTATCGACAACAGATAGTTTAGGATAGGGGTGCAAAGGTATTATATACATATGGTTGCTAAACAGTTTACACATGTTTTATTGAATGATGTTGCAAAATGCTTCAAGTTTTTGTAGCCATTGTTGACATATATGCGCAATAATCAATTATCATAGAAAGTGAAATAGCAGTATAAAGTGTGATATTTGTGAAATTTAGAAGAAAAAATATATTTTCAATTAAAAGAAGATTATTTTGAGAAGTAATTTTTATATATTTATAACAGATTACTCTCTGTGAATACATATCAAGAGTGATTTCCAATTCTGACAGCTTGCAGCATTGTAACTGCACTCAATAAAAAGTGTGCTGTTTAGTAAATGAGTATATATTGGATTACGAAACAGTTTAGACACAATAAAGTTGCAAATTCATCACTGTCAAAATAAAGATTCATTACTGTGTTTGTGTGTGGGGTGTGTGTGTGACAGGCTGGCGCAATAATTATATTATTAATTATCATTAATTATTACTTATTATTAATTATCATTAATTATTACTTATTATTAATTATCATTAATTATTATTTATTATTAATTGTATTATTGCGTAAGCCCGTCGATAATGACTCAATTTTTACGAGCTCCCAACTACATTGCAGACCAACTATACCACGGCTAGATCTTCATTCATTATCATTTTAGAATTGTATCAGTTTGATAACGATAATCCAAACGAAAAATCCTCGTCGACAGCTGAAAGCATTTTCCGCAGCTGAAAGTCTGATGTGTGCGAATATAAAACTGCCAATATTCAAATCAGACGGCTTTCATATAAACGCGCGCATTCGAACCGGAAAAGATGGCCGAATGGTCGGTTGACGTTGTCTCACTTAACCTCGTTCTAGTATCCGCTAGGTGCGTGTAAGTCGACTTCGCCCCGTAGTCGTGTGTGGTCGTGTAGGAGTAACAGCGGCTTGGAGGGAGACGGACAGGTGTTTATCTCTGGCTGAATTGTGCGGGATAGTTCGGTGTGAAAGTTTCACGGTAGCATCGTACGCGCGATCCGGGAGCAAGGCAGAGAAACATCGTCCCTCGTAGGTCCGTTTAATTGGCGATTGCGCGCACGCGCCACATCCTCAATCCGTCCGCGCTCCCTCGTTCTCCTCGTCCCTCTCCTTTTCCGCCCCCTCTCGCTCTGTCCCTCTTGCGCCTCGACACCCGCGCTTCACGCGTGCAATTGCCGCCATAGTTGATGCATCGTTCGATAGAATATTCATAGCGGCGCGTTCCGTGACTAGCTAAGCGCAGTCTCGATCGAGAGGACCGATCGTGAGACGAGGATGCGGCTGTGACTTTAGCCAGAGACGAGGTCGAGCGAGACCGAGTGGAGTTGCGTGCGAGCGAGCAAGAGGGAGGCAGAGAAAGAGAAAGAAAGAGCGAGCTCGAGCGCGCGACGACGCGACGCACGGAGAAACGGTGCGCAACGGCGCGACTCCGTTGGACTTTCCAGGAGAGCGGCGCTCAGGCTCGCGGAGTCAACGCGTGGCCACCGTAGTGTCGAGCGGTTATGTACCGTTAGCACGAATTTATTCCATTGGCCGGCTCGCGGGCGAGATATCCACGCTTGCCTACCTACCGACCGAGAAGGAGCGAGTTACTACGTTCGATCGCAGTCGGCTGTCGTAAAACCCGGAAACGAAGTGCACGTCCCTCTGTTGAACGAGAACTCATTGCGCGCGCGAGCAAGAGAGAAAGAGATACAGAGAGCACGCACACACGTACGCATATATACACGCAAAACGAGAAAGAGGCGAACGGGAAAGAGAGAAAGAGACAGGCAGAAGTGAGGAGAGAGAGAAAGAGAGGACGAACGGCAGTGTGCGAGCGCGAATTTATCGCGGAGTCACTCTCGAGCTCTCTTGGAGTTTCCGTTAGAGGAAACGCGCGCGCGTGTCTCGTCCACATACGCCAGCACGTATGACGTATGCACCGACAGCGACAGACGCGGCGAGTACATCGGCCAGCAGCGTTGTGCACGTAGAAATGAGAAAGTCGTTGCCGTCGCGCTGAGGATTGGGAACGACGACGCAAGCCAGACGGACGATTTCCGTACTAAGCGGAGCTACCAGGAGAACGAAGGCGGCGACAGTAGCAGCGGTACGCTGAGCCGAGCGCGCACGGAAAATCGTTGCTGCTGCTTCTTGGCTTGCTGGTCGGCTCACCTACCTGCACGTACAAGTAAGTAGGCCGATATCGTGAACGACAAATAGCCATTGTCCTCGCGTATTCGCGGCGCCGTGGCATGTTCGTTATCTCCGTCTGTTCCTCTGCGTATTGGCGTGTATGTATGTTTCCGACGTAAGTGTATGCATGTGTTACACGGTGTATCGTTAGATATGTGTATTTTTGCGCGCATAACAACCATATGTGTGTCTCCTTCTATTGTATGTGTTTCGCTCCTCTCTCTCTCTATCTATCTCTCTCCCCTTCTGGCTGAGCCTTTATTTTTGTTATCCCGATCACACTGCTGCCGTAGTAGTAGTGGCACTCCAGCCGACGGCGCCGAGCCGTAGGTGCCGTTGTCGCGCTGCTTCACTCCCAACGACGAAACCATGCACGAGAAACCGCGAAACGGTGGTCACAGAGAGCACCCACCCCAAGACACTAAAATCGTCGCGGGGCCCTCGTCGTGGCTCACGGCTTGGCTCGAGCTGGCTTTGGTGGGGTGGTTGGAGGTGCGGACAGTGGTTGAGAGGCTGGTGGGGTTGGAAATTGCGTGGTGGTGGGTGTTCGTCGAGGTCTCGGAGGCCCCTCCGTGGCATCTCACTGCCTCTAGCCCATCGAGGTGGGGGTGTAAACAACAGCCCTGCCCGTGTGCCTCCGTCGTTTCGCCTCTGCCCTGCTCTCTGTCAGCTGATGCGTCTTTCGCCGCGTGCCGTTGTCGATCTTTTTCCTACTTCCGTCCTCTCGGTCCTGGCTGTACGTACACGGCGCGCTCGCGCTCACGGCTGACGCGGAAAGACGAGAGGGATAAAGTAGGGAGAGTAACACAGAAAGAGAGAGAGAGGGACGACGCGCTAACGTATCCACGTGCATGTTAGAAGGGGTTTCACGATGCGCCAAACGGGAGAGAGTGCAAGGGAGGGCAAAGACAAAAAGAATCGGCTAAGTCGCGCAGTTTCTCTCGCCTCGCTTACGTGGACGATTTTTTCCATCATGGCCGCCGCGAGCGACCTACGCTTTGTGCGTAACTACGGCCATTCGTTCGTTCGTTCGTTTACCGAGCCGTCGGGGGAAAGCGAGGCATTTTTACCTCGGCCACGCGACGCTCGTTCATACTTGCGAAGCTAGCTTTCTCTCGAAAGCCCTCGGCGTTGTGACATGATCGGAATAAGAATGATGAAAAGCGTGGGTTAGGAGAACGTGGGATGGAAGCGGGCGCACCATGCACGCGACGCGTCGCGTCGCGTCATGTTGCGTTGCACAAGAGCTCGCTGATCCGTTCGGCGTGCGGCGTCCCTCGCGCGCAGTGACACCGACAACACGCGACTCGTGCGCAAGGAAAGAAACGACGGATTTCATGAAAAATCCGCGGAACGTGTACGCGGAGATAGGCATCGCGTATCACACGTCGAGCGGAAGAGAGAAAGAGGGCGCGGCCGTGCAAGCGAATGTGCGTGCGTACGTGCGTGCGTGTGTAAGCGAGTGACGAGCGAGCGAGCGAGCGAATGAACGAGCGTGCGGATAAGAAGACACGGCGTCACGTGGGAGAAGGATAGACCTAGTCGAGGCTAACCTTAAGAGAGAATCGGTGCGCCATTACGACATGCGCGTCTTGCGAGAGCAGCACGATCAGCGGCAGTACGACCGACAGCGAAGTTGACCGATCAGTCGTGTACGCCATTCCGCGTACGACGAAAAATACGTCGCGTGGTGCTGGCGAGTGTAGCGTAGAGAAGCGCGCGCGCAAGTCGGAATCCGTTACCTCTCCTAGGAAACGGCAACGTGCCTCGTACGGCAGAACGAGCACCCTTGACACACCCGTAAGGCACGCACGGTATCTTAACCTCTTTATATCTCTCTATCTCTCTCTCTCTCTTCCTTTCGGCCTGCTCTTTCCCTCTACACATCGATCCCGGTGCGCGAGGGCGGGGAACACGTTGCCCGACGTAGTCTCTCTCGGTCGCGTCGTTATCGTCATCATCATTGTCCCAATTCGTCTGGCGCGGTGTCTACCCGCCTGCCGCGACGGTGGGTGCTTTCGCCCCCGACGTTTTCGCGTTCCCCTTCCCCGGGGAATGCCGGTGTGCCGAGTTTGACTCCCTTCTTTCTTGGCGTTCCCCTACCCTTTCCAGCTCTCGCCTTCTTTCTCATTCCATTCTCGCGGTACACGCCGCGTCGAGGTAGCGCGGGAGAAAGAGGAGCGGATTCTCGAGCTCTATTTCGCGGTAGGTTCCCACCTATGGACCTCCCCCCCTACCCTCATCGTGCTCCTACCCCTTACGGCGCCCGTAGGGGCACCATCGCCGCCGCCGTGGAGTGGGGTGAGATCCTGGGCCACTTTGACGACTATCCTCCCTGCTCCCGGATCCCTTTCAGGTAGGGAGAAGGGGGTGAAGTGGGGGAGCCCTCACCCCACCCTCGCGGAATGGTATCACCAAGGCTCCGCGAGTCAAGAGCACGTTGCTCGCCTCGTCCGACACACTCGCTAAAAACGACGTGGGATTTTCATTTTGTTGCTCTCGCGAAAAACACGTGGTGGAAAGGGTGGGAGGGAAAGTTAGGTTAGGTCAGGGTGACTTAGGTTAGGTGCGGTGGTCGGGGTAGAGGCACATGGTGTTCTTGTTTTGCGTAGATGGGGTCGAAGCAACTTTGTTAATCTTGTGACGTAAAATTGAAATATTGTACAATATGAGTACAATAGAATATAAAGTAAGAGAGTGTAGAGGTATGCATGCTTATTTTTGTACATACTTGAAATGTTTTACTGAAACGTCTTCTCGCGTCTGGGAAACTCTATTTATCTAATCTGTTTTTAATATATGGTAAATAATGAAAGAAAGGAAATTTTTTAATGCGACCTATTTTGGTATTTGCACAGGAGTAACATTCTTTGAACAAAATCTAAGTCACAGCTTCCACTTTAATTTATATCCTAGCAGCGTTATTTCAAAAGAAATACAACATTGCTTTAAGAATAAATTGACTAGTGTGTGACTATATTAAGGTAGCAAAAACTAATAATCTGTTCTCTTAACAGGAGTGACGCTGTAAGATGAATTTTACACCATTCACTGGATTCACGACGCCGGGCACTGTTCATCAGTTCGCCACGGCGAAATTCGCACAAAATCTGACAACTGGTGGGCAGGTTGTTGGAGTATTATCCGGTGGTGAAGGTGGAGTCCACTACTTGAGGCCAGTTGACCCGAACGGCTTTGCTGTCGCGCAAAGTGGCAACAATCAACAACAGCAAATCATCACGTTGCCTATTACCGTGCCGGGTAAAGATGGCACGCAGCAACAGCAAACAGTTCAGATACAAGTTGTCAATCCTAGTGTGTCGCAGGGTGGAAACAGCAGCGACCAACCAAAGTATCATTTGGCACCGATATCATTGGGTCAGTTCCCACAAGGGGCAGCTACCGTTCTCACTGTAGCCTACAGTCAACAAGGCGCGGATGGAGTCCAAATTCAAGTACAACCGCAAAACACCGTGGCGACTACGCAAACGTAAGAGCATCGTGCGTTCATTCAATCATGCCATGCATATGCATTATACTTTGTCTGGCGATCTGGCGATAAAATATATGAGAAGTTAACTTTTTTCACTTAAGCTACATTCGCTCAATCGTTTTCTTTATTTGTAGGTCTGATCAAACGACACAGAGCACATCTACCGCCGTGACTACTACGTCCCAACAGACTATCCAGCAAACTGTACAACTACCAGGAGCACCTGAAGGGTTGACCGTAGTCGCGCAGATTCCACAAGATTTAATACTGCGAGAGAGCATAGAGGAGTCCAAGGAAGATGTGAAGGAAGGTACAACACCGGTAGCTCTTATTAAGCGAGGTAGTGTCAAGAGTCAAGGTAATCAGAGCGGTGAAGAATTCATTACCTCTATGCCTACCAGCTGGCAGAGTCTTGCTGCTGGTTCTGCTCAAGTCGCTGACTATCTGTCTCGACTGCCTACCAGTACCTTGCCCATTAGTTTGCAACATTTTCTCAAATTCTCCGCGGAGACTATAAAGCGAGAAGCAACTATTGAGTCTAGTCCGCTCGGAGCGGATGGTTTAGACACTTCTGGTGGCGCAACTTCGGGTGAGCAAGCTGTCCAGATTACAGTGGCTGGGGGAGAAACTGCGATCATTCCTGATGTTGTGGAGGAAGAGCCGGGAACGAAACCGAAACGTAAAAAGAAATACAAGAAGAAACCTCCAAAGCCAAAAAAACCAAAACCGGGGCAAGTGAGCATAGTTACCGCTCTGGACGGCACAACTCTGTTTTGCTGCCCTCAATGTAATATGGCATATCCAGAGAAGGAGAGCCTGGAGCAGCATCTGATTGGACACAAGATTGAAAGGCGATTCATCTGCGACATTTGCGGCGCTGGTCTTAAACGGAAGGAACATTTGGAACGGCACAAGTTGGGCCATAATCCTGACAGACCCTTCATCTGTTCCGTTTGCATGAAAGGTTTCAAACGAAAAGAACACTTGAATCTTCATTTCGTCATACATTCTGGACAAAAAACTGAGGTCTGCACCGAGTGTGGTAAAGCGTTTTATCGCAAGGATCACCTGAGGAAGCACGCGAGATCGCACCTCGCCAAGCGTGCCAAGGAAGATCCATTAAACACAAGTGACTCCTCGCAAAATCAACAGACAGACCAACAGCAACAGCAAGTGGAGCAATTGCAGCAGCAATCCTCGGTGCCCGAGTTGCAGCAAATCCAGATACAAGTAGGACAAGGATCTCAGGCGCAGATTCATCAGATCTCCGTTAGCGAGCAATCCACCGTAGTTTTGCCTACAGCCGCTGAAACTGGAGCTATGACTTTGCTTCATCATCAACAACAGCAGCAACAACAGCAACAACAGTCGCAGCAGCAGCAGCATTAGCAACAGCATACCGCCCCGACTCAATTCGGGCGGTATTTTCGTTTCAATCATCAACAAGCTAGAGGACGTGCAAAACCTGGCGTACTCGTTGATTAAGTTCTTCTTCTGAGCAATAGGCAAATTGATGTAACTTAACTTAATGCAAGTTCCGGTAGTCATCACTGTTGCCTAGTTGATGATTTTACGAACCCTCTCCATTTTAAAACGCCTCCGTTCCTTTGAAGTAAATGACATTATTGTCCTTTGTTCGTCGACAAGCCAATTGGAATTTTTGAATCTACGCACGCCGCTGGCTTGTATAATTTTTTTTAGCTAAACATATAGCTCAACAATGGCGTGTAACTACTCCATAAGTTGCGGTGTCATTCTGAGCTGTACCGATGAAATTCGTTCGTTACACGATATATACGAGTTTCTCTTTAACGTACACGTTGTAGCGTACGTGGAAAGAAGCGACAGCATCCGCTCGCCTCGGACATAACGTTTTTCGTCGCTAATCCAGTTCCATGACGCAAGTTAGAGATAAATGAAAAAGTTTATATAAATATATAAATATAAAAAATATATTTTTGAAAGCGCGGACTGGATTCGCCGGAGGTGAGAAGGCAATCGAGTTTTGGGCTGAAAATAATTCGCTTCTACCGATAGTAAAATACGTAAACGGAAGGAAAAGTTAACGGGAAAGAAAAACTATGGAAAGGGAGGAGAGTTGTAAATACGGGGCGCGGCTTTTCACCCCCCTGACGAGAGTAGAACATTTTGTCGTACGAATACTAGCGCAGGGTGGATATTATTTATTTCTCTTGTACAACACAATCGCGTGACCCAAATGAGAAAAATTCATCGGTGAATCATCATGTTTAGTCTAATCATTTTTTTTTTTTAAGAATATATCGATGCATGTGCTTATATTTTTGTATAATTTCGATCATTGTGTAATGCTTGTATGCAGGGTGTTTCAGAGAGAAAGAAAAAAAAGAGAGATTGTCAAAGGCAGGTGCGTACTCTATTCGTTACAAGGATGAAGACAATGCGTATGCGAATCCATAACTGACTGATCAAGCGACATAATAGCAGAAATCGCGCGATCACTAAAAGATTCTCTAAGAATATCTACCTGAAATTTGGCCACCTACTTTAGAAGCACCCTGTGTTCCTCTCGCAGACACCAAATATCGACAATTTGGTCGAGCGATCCAGTTCATAAGAAAATTGTGTCAAACATTTATTAAAGAACGCAAGATCGTGAGATAATCACATCGGATAAGAAGCAGATATCGCGTTTAACATGTATACTGCCAAGTTTGACATGTGACGCGGCAATAACTATTCGTTCCGGTGATATTTGTTAAACACGATGACGAGAATGGCGTTAACTTTTTAGATATAAAATGGTCGAAACATACTGTATATGGAAACTTGTGCATTTACGTTATATTTAAATCGTAAACAATACAGATAGGACGTTCACGAATAGTAATTATTTCACGATCCAATAAGGCTTTATCGATTTGTGTTTTACTCGGTTGGTTCGTAGTGGTTGAAGGAGAGGTCGATGCATGTTCCTATCACGTATGTGATGTGGATAAAAAGGGCGTTGAATAATGAATGGATAATTAACCAAATCGACCGATCGCGATTCACCTGATAAAAAAAAAGCTCTTTCATAAAGATGTATGTATACAACAAATTCTTACAGTATCGCAATTAAAGGCAATGGGTATAATTGTACAAGAAATATTATTATTTTATTATTATAATATTATAGTGCTATAATTATCGTAGATAGATTAGTACATAAGTCATTTTCATTGTTACTTACATTAATACTGCAGAAAAAAAGAACTAAAATAAATACATTTAATACAAAACTACATTATCTCCTCGCTTCTTGCGCCGGCATACAGTCTCGCTCGGAGGTCATTTCTGTGTATGACGAGCGCATACTGTCGCATCGTTCCTCGCGCGTACGCACGAATTAGAGACGGGAAGGGGAGGAGGGCGAACGAGATGGCAGTCGGGCGGGAAGAATTCGGAATGAAAAATCCGATGGGCGATTCGGGCATTTTCGGCGTGGAGCGGGGTGTCGCGGGGTGGCGCGCCGCGTCGGGAGTCGGGAGATCCGGGAGAGAGAAAAAATAGTTAAGAGGCTGGCACAGTAGAGGGCGGATGGGTGGGATGGGGACGCCGGCTTGAGGGACAGGTGTCAACGATATACGAACAACGGGGGATCTCCTCTCCCGGTGACAGTCCGCTGCGCGAGAAAACAATCCAGGCGAGCTGGAGCGCGGGTTGCGAGTTTACCGAGCGGTAAGTGCTGAGCAAGGCTGCCCAACCCGGTGGGTCATTAACGTCGACCGCGAGAGCGTGCGGTGCGCGAGACCATACGAAAACACACACGCACGGCCATTTTCTTCTTTCCGTCGGAAGAGAGAGAGAGAGAGAGAGAGAGAAAAGAGAGAAAGAGAGAGTGAGAGAGTTCGGCGCGGTAATGCGAAGAAACAGAGAGAGAGAGAGAGAGAAAGATACGACCCCGCGCGCCACGGTATCGACTAAGTATCGGATGGCGCGCGCGGTGGGGAGAGGAGAAGGGTGGCGTTTGCGTCCCTTGGCGTCGTGCACCCCCTGCCCCACCCCATCCCGCTTTGACAATCGGCCTCCCCTCCGCGTGTCGCTGTCTCCGTCTCGGCGGACGATTTTTTTATTCGTGTTTTTTTCCTCGTCATGGTTCCTGAGCGCGGCTCGGTGGAGAAACCGTGTTGGCCGCGCGATTAACAAAAAGGGGTAAGAGCTGTCTCTATCCGTGGCGCGTCCTTGGCCGCGTGGGGCCGCCCGCGACGAGCGGTCGAGCGGGTTAGCGAGTGTCAAATGTTCCACGGCGGCGTGTGAGCGCGACGTCACAAAGGAAGCCGCCGCCGGCGTATCCTTCGTATACGGCCGTACATACTCATTGTGACAGACGCTGGTCGACGCGGTGGTGTGTGATAGTAGTAGTGGTGGTGGTGGTGGTGGCGTGGTGCGTGTCTGTCTGCCGGCGCGCTTCTGTCTCTCGCTGTCTCTCCCTCTCGCTCTCTCCGGCTCTGTGTATCTCTCTCTGGTGTCCTCTCGTGTGCGAGAAAAATCTGCCCCCGCACTCGCGCTCGCACTCTCTCGTGTCACGGGGATCCCCCTCCGAGGAAAGGATCCGGCGAGGAAACATGGGGAGAGGGACATCGTTGTGAGTAAATACTGTCGGCCGTTGCGGTCTATGCGACGTCGTCGGCGCAACTTGACGTAGTTGCGCGTCGTAGCCAGCATCGTGCTAGCTGTCGATAGTCAAGATGCCGCCGTCGCATCGCCGACGCCGCGGCCGCCGCCGACGACGACGTCGACGGTGACGGTGACGGTGACGCGATAGTAATATCTCCTTCGTGATGAAGGACGCGCTGTTCGTACAAAACGTAGCCAGCGATGTCGTTTGATTTAATTCTCGCTTGCTCAGCGCTTCGGACTCGAGACAACAGCCGATCAGTCGCACGTCGTCGGTGTGCGTTCATTAGCCTTCTTCTCGCGCCGTAGAACGTACCCTCCTGAAGTAACCTCGCGTCCCGCGCCAGCCACATTCGTCAATTCCGCATGGTTTTCTTTCCTCATAGGTATATGAGTTCTACTGACGGTCTGCAATGAATTTCTCGCCGTTTGGAGGCCACTTCCCTACTACCATACCAAGTATCCATCAATTTGCGACCGACAGTTCCAGCGGTGCGGGCGCGCGCTACGCGAATCATTTTCCCAACCAGCCTCCGATCGGAGTGCCGGTGATGGGAAAGTACCGTCCTGAGAACAACGCCGTGCAATCCGCTCAGTCGCAAGTGATGATGAACAATAAGGCTAGCTATCCCAACAGTAATGTTCACCATTATCCAAACGTGCCGTATTCTCAGGCCCAATCTGTTCAACAACGGCCCACCAACTCGCCTGGAATGCAGGAGAAACGCTCGTACCATCAGGTGAGCCAGTTTTCTGTGGCTATTTTCTGGAAGATATTTTTTATCTTTAGATACAGATTGTTTTTCATTGTTGTCCATAAACCCCATTCTTGTAACAATGTAAAAGTACAGAAGAATTCTATAGTTATTTTCATTTTCATTTTTTTTAACACATGTCAAATAAATTGCAAAATTATTTTTATCTTCTGCAACTTTTCTGTATATTGATGGATACTGTACGAAAACTATTAGATGTAAAACAAAAATATTATCATTTTTCATATGATTTGTTATTTTTAATATATATAAAACAAATTACGAGATTACTCTTATTCTCTATAATATTTCTATATATTGATGTATATAGATATTCTGTGTATATAGACATACTAAAACTATTGTGTAATAAGTAAAAAAAAACTTGATATAACGATATTCTGAATGAGCAGTATCAAACATCTTGTTTCTACTCAGTTATCAAGAAAAGAGACACAAGATTGTAACAGGATCAACGTTTACACTATGATAATGTTTAACAGTGCTCTGTGTGCCTCTATCTGTAGACAATGTAAACAATGTATTAGATGTAGACCTATGAATGAGTAATCTATAAGTGTCAGAATGGAAGAACGTATGGATTGTTAAAAAATTAATTACGAAAGGGTATTTTTATTTAATTTTTTGAATCCTGATGTAAAATTACAAACATTTCCTAAGCAAGTTAGAGTTTGCAGAATTCTCTGGTTAGACTCTTACCTTTAGAATGAAATCTATCAGTTAAATCTATTTATCAATTTATTGCAATGAAATGAAAATTTCATACAATTTGTGTTTTTTAAACATTATGTTTCAATACCCAAAACAAATAACTGTTTTATAGTTATTCTCTTTTTTTGTATATTTTAATATAATTTACAATATTTTGCATAATTACCATGTATCATGTAGGCAATACGTAAATAATCTATGTAGACATAATCTTGATATCTATGGCATACAACCCTGTGTAATATACCATTTGTTCTTTTGTCATAGCAATCCACAGAAACTATAAATCAACAAGATGTCTGCAATCTTCTTCAAGACAAGGACAAAAACAAGGAGAAGAAAGCCGAAGAGCAACAACGCAATGGAGAGACAACTGCCACAAACGGTGCTCAACAGGACTACACGATGCACCAACATCATCAACAGCATGCTCATACCCAGACACCAGCTACTATGCCCGCTACATGGCAATCGCTCGCCACTCCCGGATCCACCGTGGCTGACTATCTCAGCCATTTACCAGCTAGTACTTTACCGTTGAGTTTACACCACTTTCTCAAGTATTCCGCCGAAAGTATCAAAAAAGAATCCGAGATGGCACAGACGACTTCGGTGGCTGTGGCTACTACAACGACACCTAATATAATGATGTCGCCGAATAATAAAAAGAAAAAAAAGAAGAAGACGCCCAAGGAGAAGAAGCCGCGTCCGAAACCCGGCGAGATTCGCTTAACGACGGCGTTGGACGGCTCGACGTTGTACTGTTGTCCAGAATGTCACATGGCGTATCCGGAACGAGAATTGTTGGAGCAACATCTTTTGGGCCACACCTTAGAGAGAAGATTCGTTTGTGACATATGCGGCGCTGGCTTGAAACGGAAAGACCACCTCACGCGTCATAAACAAAGCCACAATCCTGAGCGGCCTTACGTTTGCACTGTCTGCTTGAAGGCTTTCAAGAGAAAGGAACAACTGACGTTGCACTTTGTAATACATTCTGGTGAGAAGCGGCACGTGTGCACAGAATGCGGTAAGGGTTTCTACAGGAAGGATCATTTACGGAAGCACACCAGAAGTCACATCGCAAGAAGAGTAAAAGCGGAACTGAGTCAAAATGCTGGTAAGAAATCCACGATTATATTGCTACATGATTAACGTGAGTCCACGATATATTTTTTTGCTCCCTCTTTCTCGTGCCAATTGTCAATTTCGCTTCGCTGTGTGTCTTAGGTACGCAGCAGAGTCAACAACAAAATAACGTTTCGAGTATGCAAACGACAACCGTGTCGGCGTCGTCTGTTCTTCCGGGTGGGCACCCAGGTCCCCTCCTATCCTGAGCCCCGCCACCAGGGAACTTCCAGGTTCCCCATCCGAACAATATTCTCCATACGCATACTTCTCATCATTCGTTGCACCATCATCATCTAACGGCAGTCAACGTAGCGCATCAGTCGACCGTCACGCCACTCGCTACATCCAGTCATTATCAGTCGCACGAGCTTAGCTTTTTGGGACATGTTAAAGATTTCTGAGACGAGGAGAGGACCTCGGCGAAGAGGTAACACCAACACGCTAACCGATCGTCGTTGTTGTCGTCGATAGGTAGCTTCGACTGACTCATCATTCGGACTTAGTGATTTTTATATGAAACGTATTCGCATTGTATGTGTATATGTGTTCCGGATGAAGCTTCCTATGTCTTCGGCCGCGTTCATTTTGGACACTTACGCGCTATAAGCGCTTAAAAGCGTTGCTTATGCCGTTCGCTTTAGAATAAACGCTTGCAGATCGAGTAATATCCTCGTGACGTCATAACTTCTACTTACAAACAAGGTAGAACAACGAAAGCGTGAGCTCATATTCGTTTCGGAACGCACCATAAGCAGTATCAAACGCAAAAAAATAAAAAAATAGCTTCCAAAAATCCAACACATATTGTGTTATTAACTTTTAGGCTGCCGGCATTTTTCATTAAAAAAGTTTTTTTCTCAAAAATTTTTCTGTATAAGTAACATACACATGACGCAGAATTTTGAAATTTGTGCAAAGCCACAAAAGTGGCTTTCCCGGCAGTCTAAAGGTTAAAAGATACGAAAACTGATCGTATTTGTTACCGTAATATGATTTAAATGATTCATAATTATAATCTGGTATGATGTTCTGCATACATAACTTGCATTTTGCATAACTTACCAATCGTTGTATAGATCTTTGAATAGAATATCTTCCTGCAATCATGATATTTTCCAGAATGTTGTCATAAGGATTTTCATAATCTTCGTCAGTATCACACAATAATTCTAGCACCGTTAATATTAATGCAAATGACATACACACTTATTTTTCATCTGTTATAATTACAGCTTGATTGTGGCCTTTTAAACGCTCACAATCGCCAAAGCGAATGTATTCTTTACTGACGTGTAAGCTCTCAGATACCAAATCGAACGACGCTTATAAATGTTTATTAGTGTGAGCGCTTACAGCGCGTGAGCGTCCAAAGCAAACGCAGCTTTTTTGTCTCGTCATCGTGACGAGATGTTATGTCATTCCTTTTTCGAGTCTTAACTGTTATCCGACGCGCTCTTCTTATATTTGTCCCATTCGCGACTTTCATTGCCAGTATTGTTTCCGCCACAGAGTTGCACGTAATACATAAGGAATAAAGCAGAGACATAGAAGCTATACGCTTCTTATAGCACAAACAAAAGTACACATGTGGGAGAGAATACTAATTTTCCACGGAAATTCTAGAGTAGAAGTTTGACTATAAGTCAAAGATTCTTGCCATACGTCGTGTACGATGAAGAAAAAAAATATTTTTGTGAAAGATCGGTGTTAATGTAGAAATTAAGCTGGTCGATGAAAGATAGAGAGAAAGGAAGGGAGAGAGTGAGAATGAGAGAAAGAGAAAATAATGACATTTATTTCTCTCTTCTTTTTTTTTTTACTTTTTTTCTTACATCATCGCGTCGAAGCGTAATTTTATTATTTTCGCGGTGGTTGTAAATTTGTTTTTATTTCTAGTTGAATGACAACAAGTGTGCAAGTGATATAAAGGAAATAAAAATTATGCATAGCGATATTCCTAATGCATATGAACGTAGACGAGTCAACCCACCGATTAGAAATCGTCGTCTTTCCTTTATTTTCTGAAGGCAGATATTTGATGAAACTTTTAGTGCGCATCTAAAGGATAATAATGTGTATTATCATACAGTTTTAGGTAGAACTATGCTCTATGGGAAAAAAATACGATAAAAGCGTAGCAATATTTCGCAGTCGATAAAAATTTTATTTCGTTTCATTAAAACTTTTGTTCCTTTTATATATAAAGTTGACAGTATTTTATATTTTACGATATAGTTCTAAATTTTTACTTATTGTATATATTTATATATACACTTTTCTTATGTATGTGTTGTATAACATTTTGTATGAGCGTATTTGTCCAGATACTTGGCAAATTCGTCGTTACTTTCTTTTGCGACTTATCGTACTGAACATTTCGGAAGCTTAATTAGTCTTCGTAATTTTTATATTACTTTTTTTTACATTGTTTTTATACATATTTTTTTTCGTTGGTCTTCATATATTCGTTATATACGTTGAGTACTGATTATAATGTAAGTTTTATTTTGTAGCGTATACTATGGTATACTTATGTAGCGTATACTATGGTTTCTCTCGATATACGAGCTAGTTTTTAATGTTTATATTTATCCACGCATCGCAAATCTTCACAGACTGTGATTGTTTCCGACAAAGGATATTTGCTGTAATCGTCAGACTGCCTTTAAGTTTATAAACTTTGGCTTCATTTTAGTATTAATGTCTCCGTGCCATCATTTTTAAAGCTACTTTTTCGATTTCTTTTCTTGCCATACATTACACAAATGTTTTATAGTCACAATATACATAATAATTATATTTTTTTTACTATTCTTTATACTTCCATCATCGTTGTCATCATAACAATTATTACTTTTCATTTTATTATCATTAACGTTATTATTATTATTATTCAGCCACACGTGGGAATACTCGAATGATGTTTGAGATATTATACAGGTGATAGAGTAGTAAATAAATAAAAACTATGATTCCAAAAGTTTGATAATACTATGATTTTGTTTTACTTCTCATTCTGCCGTAACTGGCTTAGATCTGTCAAAGGTATTTTTGCATGTGGTTTTTCTTAATTTACGAGCGATTTACTTATGTAATTTTAATTATCATTATTGTTATTATAATTATTATATTATTTATCTTTATATAAATATAAATATCCGTATAAATATTATCGTAAAATGACACGTCAAACATGTCTACATGTATAAACATGTATTGTATAAACATGCATATATTAGAACGTAAAGTGTTAGAAATATGATGGGATCATTGTAGAAAAAGAAACTCGTTGTATAACTGTAGTATCTATTCGTTAGGACACTATTATTTGGTGAATAATAATCGATATTATGGTGTTTTGTAATTTAATATACGAGATTTTTCTTAGGATATGATCATATCTTAAGGTTTCTTGTACCTCACCGATCATATCGGATTTATGACGTTAAAAGTGAGAAATGACATGCTGACGAAAGTTGCGTGCCATTTCTGAATAAAGATAAATATGGACGAAGGAGCATTTGAGATTACTTGAGCATACTTATAAAATTGTCCGAAAGATATCCTTTTCCCTTAATGATCAATAAATCGTATAATAAATTGTGAAATGAAACACATGAAATGATAAAATGAGTCTATTTTGTCTGCGTGTTTTATTTCACCATTTATCATACGACTGATCGTTAGGAGAAAGGAATAGTTTTCGGAAAATTTTACAAGTATGCTCAAGCAGTCTCAAGTGCTCTTTCGTCCGTATTTATCTTTATTTAGAAATGGCACACAACTTTCGTCAACGTATTATTCCTCGTTTCTGATATCACAAATCCAACGTGACCATAGCGAGATACAAGGATCACTTTGCAAATCATTGTCAAACGTTATTACAGAAACAAAGAGAAAAATACATTGTTGTGTTTTACGTTCCTGATTAAAATCGCGCGACATATACTCATTGTGACAAGTATACAATGGAGTTCGTACTCGCACGATATTTAAGATATTCATTACATGATTGATATTTCTCATTTGGACATATCTTTCTATTTGTTTCTCGTCGCATCATATCTCTAGCATAAGACGTTTTGACAAACAACACAGAAAATTCAGGTTTCGCCAGACCTCAAGTATAATGATATGCTAAAATTATTGCATACATGATATAAATATATATACATACGCACTAAAAGTCGTATGTAAAAGATCGAATTGTATTGAAAATTCATCGCCATGTACTTGTAACCATCAAGGCAGAGAATGTCTTAGATTATACGTTAGCGAGTAAGTTTGTATACAAGACATAATTGTATCGTAAGCAGAGCAAAAGAGAGAAAAAGAGAGAAGCAAAGAATTGTATACATAGGGTGTATCAAATGCCGCGGACACTTTCTCTTTAATACAGACGACAGAGAGAGACAAAAACTTGTTTCTTTCAACATCAAGGAATCTTTACGATTTCCATGAAGCGATGCCAAACAAGAACCATTTTTGGCCATCAAACGCGTTGAATTTTAATACTCTTTTAATTCATGAGACTTTTAAATAATAAGATATTAAAGCTTGATGATTCAAAGGATTCCGTGAAGTGACTCTTTTATAACAAAGAAGACAACAAAAGAATCCGTAACTGGGAGAAAGTATGCGAATTTTCTTACACTCTTATGCGCTATGAGGAAACGAGAATATGCGCAAGCGTTGATATAAGTCTTTTGAGGAAAGTAATTTGTTTTTTACGGTGGTAGATGGATTATGCAAAGATGTAATGAGGAGTAGCTTTACGATTTACAAAAGAGATGGCAAGAGAAAGAGGGAGGAGGAAGGGAAGGGAGAAGCAGATATTTCCAAAGTTCGACATACGTCTTCGACTGTTCAAACAAAATGAGTGGCTCAAGAAGGTCTATTTTGAAGGGTAGCTAAAAGAACCTATTTCCATCCTCGACGAAGTGGACAGTTAATTCTTATAGCTGTACAACCGACCGCTTCGTCGAGCTATAGTTGTAGTAACGTTCCTGTAGTGACGAAGGAAGAATAATAGTCGATGCGTTTCTAAAGAAGGGAAAATACTTTTCCGGTGCCTTTGTATTGCGCTGGATTTTCCGCACCCATATGGACCTTCTACAATAAGATTATTAGTCATAACCCGCAAGCAAATTGACGAATTATTTGACTATTTTCAGTTGACTATTTCCAAAAATAATCGACTGTGATTGGTCAATTTGCTTACAACTTGACTATGACTAATGGCTTATTATAGAAGGCTCAGCGTAGTTCACCATCGTAAGGTCTAAGATCTAAAAGAAAAAGAAGCGGCGCGTTGTGCCTCTCTGTTTTCGGAACAGCGTGTATACTTTGTCCGCCTCCGCGTTGTTCGAGCAGCCGTCGGTTTTGTCGATTTTGTGTCCTTTTCGTGCTTCGGTATGATCGTCGGGAATTCACACGGGTCAAAAGGCGAATCTCGACGCATCTCGATGGATTTTGCAAAATGCGCCTCCCGCAAAATATACGTTTCGATAAATTTTTTTATCTTCGGCAGAATGAGGAAAGACTGAGACTCGCGGGAGACTAAATAAATACGATTCGTCACGTGCATTCGACCAACATTTCAAGGGGGAAAATACTTTTCGTTCGGTATTAAACGTCTACTCTTGCTTTCGAGATTCAATTGGAGTGTGCTCTACTCGCCGAACTTGCTGATTCTAGATGTCGCGAATAAAAAAGAAAATCGGGGTTGGCCGAAAATAAAAAGATAGGTTGTCGTTGTACGTGTACGAGAAAAAAAATCTGTCATTGGGCGCGCTCGTTCAGTTTCGATCAAATTGGAGATATCGGTTGGACTTGATTCTCCTTCATCTCGATTAGAAGCGGTTAAATTAAGAGTATGGATTTTATATAGAAGATGTATTATAATGATAATAATAATTAATAATAATAACAACAATAATCATAATAGTAATATTAATAACAACAACAACAATAATAATATAATAACGTTAGTGTAATACCGAAAAAAAATATGATAATATTAATAACAATAATGATAAAATAGTAAGAGTTTAGTGGTAAACACATAACGGAGAAAACAAGATCCGATTCTCTTGCGACGCGCTTAATAGTTTTTATGCGAAACCCCAGAAAGCCGTAAGCGACTTCGCGAGTTGGCAACAACTCGATAACAAGCCATATGTATGATATATGGGCATTTCGATATTCTTTGCGTTCTCATATACATAATTCTCATATACATAAGGTAGTTGATTATTTTACTGACGATGATTACTTTATGATTTATTGTCGAAATGTAAGATCTATTTCTTTCGTAGGCCTTTGTAATCGTTGCTCGTAACGAAGATAATCGTGCACAATGTGTGACACGTTTTTTCTCTTTTTAATATTCAAAAACTAAACAAAAAAAATTTTTTTGTAACAGATGTGCTTATATTTCGTTGATTCACCGGTACTTTCAGTCGATTCGTTTGTTCCGAGCATCGAATGTACCCAGATAGCACAAGATATTGTGTAAATATTCTGATGAAATATGAATGTTCTTGATTCCTCAATATTCGAATTGGATATTCTATGAATATACGTGCAATATTGTAGACAGAGATTCCTGTATTTATAGGAAGGATTAATAGGAAGGAACATTCTTAAAACATTCGTATGATTTATTTTACTGCGCATGTGCAATGCGTTCATGTAACTGGAAACTTTTTCAAATGTTTCAAATAGTAAGGTGCATTTGTTACAGCTTACAGTAAGAAAGCGTATCCACGAGATGAAATATTCGGGTTAATTTAAAATTGTAAAAGCTAAACCAATGATTAAGCTACATTTTTTGTGAATGTTCTATGCATATCCACAGAACATTCAGAGTCGGTCATTCGAATATACTGTGAACGTGCTGTGAATATATACTGAGAGAAATTCGATAAGAAATTAACAAGCGGATATTTCCGATCAAAATACTAATGAATTTTTGTATCCAATCAGGAAACATCCGATGAGAAATATCGGTTTATAATTTTTTCATCGGTTTATCCGATGAAATCCCACTATAATTGGAAATATTTGATCAAATTCAATCGGATATCCTAATCGGATATAAAAATTCATCGATCAAAAATATCCGTTTGTTAATTTCTTATCGGATAATTTCTCTCAATGTCTTCTGGTGCATCCACAGAATGTACAAATATTCACGGAACATTCACAGAATATCCCTGTGCTATCTGGGTATGCACCCACCGTTGAGAAGAATGGACAATGTGAAGGCGATTTTTGTTCAATTAGACGTGAAACGGTTACTCGATGAGGGTAGTGGAAAACAAAAATCTAAAAAGAGTACACGAGACCTCGATGTGACTCGAGTGCGCGAGTCTCTCAGGAGCAGGGATGGCAATGAAGAACCATATTTTTCTATGCAGTGTGTCGAAACTTTTACTTATTTGTATCAAACCACATAGAGAGCACACGAAGGAGCGAATTCGATCGACGTCTCGTCGCAAGATGCGAAGATACCTCGAATACAAGCAGTGTGTAATTATAATAATATCGATTGGTTCATGCAAGAGAGAGAGAGAGAGAGAGAAAGAGTAGAGAAGAACATTCGACGGATGCGCGTCGCATTCTTGGTATCTTCGTTCTTGCTCGTTCGCCAGTTCTTCGTTGTTCGTGAGTTTTCCAGCGCGGCGTCGATCGCGGGATACGATTTTTTATAGCGTATAGCGTAAGCGAGCAACGTGAGATTTTGCATGAACCAGCGCGCGTCGCTATTGTGCGTTCAAAGAAAACAAAAAGAGAAAAAAAAGAAAAGGGGCAAAAAAGAAAACGGAGAATCTCCAGCGGACTATCGTTTGGTCGTTTTGGCTTGTCTAATCGGCGCCTTGTCGCGTGCGTGCGTGCATGCATGAGTGCGCTACGAGTGTGTGTGCGTGAGATTGCGTGTGACTACAGAGTTCTCGACGGGATGTGTAACGGGCGATCGATCGACGACGGAAAGACATACAAATTCCTTGATATAGTACAAACGCTCAAATCCTTGTTTCTCTCAGATAGATTAGATGCGCGTAAGTAATACGAGTGAAATAACCGGCTGGCCTCGAAGTACGAATTCCTTTTCGTCCAAGTATAATGCAGCATGGTCTTTCCGCGGAACGAAACCTTCCTCTCTCGGATGGTTCTCCTTGACGTGTGACATTTGTAATACACATCGCGTCCCGGGGGATCTGTCGACGATGAGAACAAGTTCGCTCGACGATACCTTTGCAGTCGAACCGTGAGCGGAGTGGTGGTGGTGATGGTGGTGGTGGTGGTTGTTGTGGTGGTGATGGTGGTGGTGGTGGTGGAAGTAGTAGTGGTGGTGATGCTGGTCTTCGTGGTGCAATACATCCGGATGCTGAGTACGCTCGATATCTCTAGTTTGTATTTTCGAAAGAAAGAAATTTTAAATATACCCTCCGGTGAATTTTCTCGTCTTACTTCTCATCCATACAGCCCCCCTGTGTTTACATCACTTTCCGTTTTCCGAAGGCTTCTTTCGTTTTTCACGTCGAAGCGTTCGCGTGGACGCGAGCGAGAGGAGGACGGAGAAAATCCTAGTGAATGAGCGCCGAGTGCGAACCGACTTCGAGGGCTTCCGGTGAAATTGTTGAAATGGCATTCGCGGCCGCATTTGCCTAGGTCAATTCCCTTTTTCGTTTCTTTTTTTTGTTAATGCTTTCTAAGCTTGCATTTTGTCATCCCCGATTACTTTCGCGCCGCCACTTTTTTAGCTGAACATTTGTACCACAGTCTTCCAGGGTACAAAAATACCGATTATTCGTCGTGCGTAAATCAAAAATTAATGCAGGATGAATGTACACAGTAAAGAGACATAATAAAAGAGGAAAGGAAAAAAAAAGAGAGAAAGAGAAAAGGATAAGAGAGACACATTGAGAGAAAGAAGTATGTATAACTAAGCGAATCTCTCTGATATGTCGACGTTTTATTTTTATATAGAGTGCTTAAAATGTCTATCGACTTTAAGAACGCGGGACGAGAAAATCGGATGGACAAAAGGTGAAAAAAGGCATATAAGAAAAAAGAAAAAATATTTAGAAAGACTTAGATCTATATATATTAGATGCGAGTGTGAATTTAGACGACAAGAATGGAAGTTTCGAATTTGCGTGCGCGTTTTTCAAATACTTCCCGCGATACTGCTTCTCATATGTAATATATCCTATATATTATATCGTTCTATGTATACACACACACACATATATATATACATAGATATACATCCATGAAAAAAATGCGTGACGTATATCTTTTCTTACAATTCTCATTATAATGTATGTATATAAATTGTAAGAAAAGTCATATCAGAAGATTTATTGTTCGGGGTCATCACCCGGAAAGAATTTAATACACTCTCTCTATATATATATATCCCTATACATATATATGTACACACACATATATATCCCGCGTTACTTTCTATTTCTGTTCTTGCGAGAATGAGAAACGATTAAATTGTCAATCAATTTGAGTATATGCGTTTTTGCATTTTCAATGACTGTATATTATAAAAAAGACACCAGGTAGATATTTTTATATAATAATCATTTATTAATTTAATTAAGATCACTGCAGTTAAATAACAAAACGCTATCCTCTCCTCTTTAGGCGTTCAGATCTTGCGTCGCGTATATATCGTTGGGCGCATGTATAATGAGCACAACTTAACAATATAGTAATAAGCAGGATTGGGAAGGTTATTTTTGAAAAGTAACGCGATACCGTTCCTCGTTACTCATTGGAAAAAGTAACTCTATCGTTACTCGTTACCCAACGAGAAAAAGTAACTCGTTACCGTTATCATTACTCAAGAAAAATAATATACTGTTACAACTTCCATTATTTTTTTATCAAGTTTTGAAGACCTTCCTCTCTTGTTCCAGAAGATTCGCTTCTGCTCATTCTATATACACATACAGTCTTCCATATATGCAAAATAATAATAGAAGTAACAATAATATTCGTTAACTTTACCCAAGAGATTAAATTGCGTTACCGTCATTACATATGAAGGAAAAAAATGTTACCTGAAGAGCGTAACGATAACGAAGTAACGTTACAAGTTACAAGTAACGCGTTACTTCCCAACCCTGATAATAAGATGTCAGTATATATCACGACTTTTTATACTAATATACAACTAATGAACGTGCGGTCCGACTCGCTATGGACGTGTATTGTTACGTTGAAAATGGAAGAATTGATATTATTTTGTGAGTTTCGGGATAAAACGTTACCCGAATTTTCTAAATCAACGGATTGGTTTCGGGATCGCGATACATTAACAGGATCTTCGTACACGTGAAATTCTCCAGCGATAAATCATCCTCTCAAGTAACAATCAATTTTATCTACAGATATGCATCAATGAATTCACGTGGATGACTGGTTTCTTTACTTCGCAATAACAATTCCTAAATCCTTGCTATAATCGCAGTGGCTATGTTAACGCATTCTTATTAGTTCTCACGCAAGGCTAGTCTATGAATCATTACGCCGATAAAGACGCTTAATCATTCATAGTGCAAAAAAAATTGCATATTTTTATACAATACTAGCATCTTATAATTACGCTAATTAGTTTCTCGCTTGATGAAACCTACGTCTTGACACTTTGCTTCAAACGCAAATTATGAGAAATGAGCTAAAAATTAGCGCCGGTAAGAATTTTTAGAACAATTTTGCTTTTCTTTTATTTATGTATATATATATATATATATATATATATATATATATATA